ATCGTTCCAATTTTATCGGAGGATTCATGATACACCACAAAACCCAATTCTAATTATTAAGCCTCCTAAGGTAATGCGTTCTGGGTTTGATGAAGGCTTAAGATCTTGAAGCTGTGCGGGCTCTGCGGGTTTGACGAAACAGGAACACTACAGCGAGAACGGAGTTGAATAAATTACTGCAGGGCACATGATAGAACAGACGTTCATATGTGCTCAGACGGGTAGACAAACAAGCAGACATACAGGTTGGCAAACAATGAGATGCACGTGGCAGATTTGCAGCACATGGTGGCTCTACTGTGGCACTCGACGCCGTGTATTGCGCAACTCAAGGCAGGAGGCATGCAAATCAAACTAGAAAGGCATCAGCGGTGGTGTAGGGAGGTGAGCCTGAGGACTTCGACATTCAACTACCGCGAAAGCTGCGCTGCAGCCAAACATTCTTCCATCTCTCGGATGGGTTAGGACGCAAGGATTCAGGGCATGTCGGGATTTGTACCTGCTGGCAGCGGTTACCGTAAAGAAAGCGCCCGGCGAGTTCGTGGGACATTCAGCTTTGGGATCAACAAAGTGGACAGAAGGTCAAGTGCCCGCGACAAGCCACGCTCTAGATTTGCACACCGTCCTCAAAACTTCATAAACGTGGTAAACCCTTCCCTGAATCCTGCACCCTGTAACCTAACGAGAAAAGGGACCCCTCTTTGCAAGATGCCAACTTCCCGAAGATGATGGCAAGATGCTCGTCGCTGGGCGGCGGCAGCGAAGGATCGGGATCCAGTTGTATGCCTTTGCTTTCGGATGAGGAAACTCTTGCTTTTTAAGGGTTTAGGGTTTAGGGTTAGGGTTAAGGGTTAAGGGTTTAGGGTTAAGGGTTTAGTGCGATTTTGTTTTCCATGGTTGAAGTTTCTCTTCCATTGCCAAAGTGCCGCTGTCCTGTTTATCAGCACTGGTGGTCATTCGCTGCAACCCCAGAACCCCCCCAACAGACCCGAAGCCAGGGCCCCAACAGCAAGCCCGGAACCGTCGGACCTACGCAAAACACGCCCAAACCATAATATGGGGGCCTTAATAATCAGAATATAGGGTTTTGGGACCCATTATACTGTAATAAAAATAAGGCAAACCAAAAATAGTATTGGTAATAATTTAGGCCCCTATATTAACCCATCCTTTCGATTTTCGGCCGAGACCACAGTCAATCTCTGGCACACGGGCGGCTCGCACGAGGTTCTCACCTTGCGCACTGGTACTCTCCGGGATGCGAGGGCTCGTCCCTTCTGTGGGGTTAACCAGGAAATTTACTCTGGAGGCCCCTAAACCCTAAACCCTAAAACCCTAAACCCTAAAAACCTAAAACCCTAAACCCTGGGTCCCGGCTTCGGACCGTGATCTCGAGGAGCTGCACCTTCTTTCCTCCTCCACGGCTACAAACCACGACCCCTAAGGCCTTGAACCAACGGCCCTCCCCACCCGAAGGAAAAGACACAAACATCCAGAGCTCCCAAGCCCAAACCTCTAGGCTTTAGGGTTTTTTTAGGGTTTGGCTTTAGGGTCTAGGGCTACACCAAATACAAGCAGATCCCAATGCCTTATACCACTCATCACACAATAATACCCCAAATCCTAAACCGTAAATCCCAAAGTGTCGTGCAGCTTTGCATGCCTTTTGCGAGTTGCAAGAGTCGAACCCCAAATCAAACCCCAACCTGTAAACACCCATACCTAAGCCTTCATGCTACTAAATTCTTAAAGCCTACACTCTGAACCCCAATCTTTCCTAAAGCCTAAACCCTGAACCCCAATAATTCCTAAAACCCATAACCCTACAGTAAACCCTAATTATTACCCTAATGATTCCTACAACCCTAAGCCCCAATCATCCGAACAAGGGGCAGCACGGGGAGTTGGTGGCTGCAGTGGCTCCAGGCGATGATGGCGCCTCGGAGGTCTCAACTGCTGGATTCCCCCTAGCAGTCTCTTTGCGCTCCTTTTTTGGGGCTTTGGGCTTCTAGGGCTGTTTGGGTTGTGGTAGGGCTTACAGGGTTGATGGCGCCTGTAGTTATTTTTTGTGTATAGGGTTTCGGTTAAGGAATTCGGGCTTCTCGTGCTAAAGTGTGGGTTGCGGCGCTCACACTCGGACACTCCAGGCGAGGCATTTTTCGGCGTGTGGGTTTACGGTGTAGAGGGTTTAAGGTTTAGGCCTTCTTTGTATCTGGTTTAAGGTTCAGGGGTTAAGGTTTGGGTTTCTTTTGCACGAGGCTTTTCCTCCGGCAGGCACCAAGAATCTACGGTTTAGGGTTTAGGGTTCACAGCTTGGGCACGAGATTTGCGAGCTGGTTCAACAAAGGTCAACCTTCGTTTATAGATTTATAGAGGGCAGTGTCTTGGGATCTTCTAGCTTAGGGTTTACGGTCTTTCTAAGGGCTGGACTAGACAAAAAGCTCTGCGGCTAAGCTTTTGTAAACGGATACACAAACCCAAAGAGTGAAGTGTGTAAAATGTGACTCCAGGAGCACATTTTAGAGGTTAACATCTTAGATATGGTAGGTCCAGCAAGGTTCCTTTGTGGCGAGGCGATTCAGGAAAGGCCTGCAAAGCACCCAGTCAAAAGTTGCAAAGGCCTATTGCCGGAAGGGAGCCGTCCAAGCTTATCTCCGTAATGTTGGGGAAGGAGGGTGCTGGTGGCAGTAGTTGCAATCCTGAGCCCTGTCCACCAGGATAGGATGGTTACGATCGTCTCTATTAAAAACCCTGGCAGCCCCTTCTCGTACAAGACTTGAATAACATCCTGTAGATCCCATATATCAAATCCCTCTGAAATGCATCCGCAGGCACCCCGAGTAAAGGGAACCTGGTAGTGTAGGTGTAATCCCCGAACCACCACCCTGGAGAGGCCAACACCCCCTTGGTACCTGTAAACACCCCTATGAGACCTCAGAAAGCCCGCATGAGGTCATTGCAAAACCGAACAAACATCCTGTAAGGCACCTCGGTGGTCGGTGTGGATCGCCTCCGTTGGGCTGCGAACTCCTGCCGCACGCGGATCCCATGGCTTCGCAAAGATTAGCAGCAGAAGTAGTATATGTATATATATATATATATGTATATGTATATATACATATATAGGTATGAATGTAGATGCACGCATGTTTGGATCATGGCTGTCTGTCCGTCCGTCCGTATGTATGTGTATGCATGTATGTATGGATGTATGTATGTATGTATGTATGTATGTATGTATGTACATATGTACTGCATTGCATATGCACGCGTACACTTTTGCATGTGTGTATATGCATACATATATATATATATATATACACATTCACTTGCACTTCTACATGTATACACACATACACATACCTCTAAATGTCTATCTATCTGTCTATCTATTTTTATGTCTACATATATATATATATATGTATATACAGGCATATCAATGTGTGTATGTGTGTATGTATAACATACGGATATATACATATATACGTAGACTTCTATGTATATACATATATACCTATATATACATATATATATATATATACAGGCCTCATGATATTGCATACTTATACATACCCATACTCCGAACTCGTATATTTGCTGATGTGTTTCTTTAAAAACATCAATCTAACCTCAGCTAGAATCCTAACGACTAAGCTACTGAGTCCCCCCGTCCCAGGTGGCTTACTTACTTCCCCAAGAAGCCAGGAAAGTAGAGGGTTAAACTTTCAGATTGCCACTAAATTAAAAGAACCCAACAAGTTGAACGGTTGGCTATTGGAGAACTATTAATCCCAAACCTAATCTTTTACCTCAACCCTCAACCCTGACGGCTAGTCACAAGTACTTGGAGAAGTAAGTTACAGAGTCCTTCAGCTGCCCACTGTTTGCGGCCTCCTCGAGGGCATGCTTCCTGGGCTAGCAAGGCCCCTCGAGTTTAGGGTTTCAGCACTCACAACTGGGACTTAGGGTCTAGGGTTCGACGACATAAACTCAGGGTTTTCTGCCTCAGTTCAGAGTTTAGGGTTTACGGGTCGTTATGGCTATGGGCGTACGGTGCAGGGTGTCTGGTTTAGGGCAAGTTCGAGCTGAAAGAGATGCAAACTGCAATACCCAAAACTCATTGACGTTCGTAGCTTCCCTACGACTCCAGTTCCTTCACACTTTTGTTTCTCTCAGACAATGTAACCTCATACCTCATCTTATTGTAGCTGGAGCCCGTTTTTCAAATTTTGAAGATGTCAAGGCCTGCATGGCTTCTGCATACCTTGCTGGGCTTGCATAAGCGGGACCCTCGGCACTACACTCCTTACACGGGCTACAGCTACCATTCCTGGAACTTGCACGGAAAGAAGGCCCTGAGCCAAAACCCTGAACCCTACCCCAAGCTCTTAGCCTTAGGGTCCGTGTGCTCACGTAGTGTATACTTTGGCTTTACAGCAGCCGGTACATGGACCCGAGGGTTCCATCAAAATACCACGCCCTCAGCCCAAACCTTAAACTCTGAAACCTGAACCCTTTTTTTGAACCCAGACCCTCCTGAACCCTTAACCTTAAACCCTGAACTGTGAACTCTACGCCCTAAACGCAAGCTCGTCAAGTCTTACATACAAGTACCACTTTTGCCAGGTCGCAAAGCCCAGCCAAGCTCCAGGTCAGATCGCCGGCTCAGATTCATGGGGATCTGAGAATCCTCTTCTAAGGCCGTTTAGGGTTTCGGCGCTCACACTCGGACAATCCAGGCGAGGCATATGGTTCGAGTCTGCAAGTAGGGTTTAGGGTTTAGGATCTGAAAATCCTCTTTTCTGGGGTTTAGGGCCGTTCAGGGTTTTAGGGTTTAGGATCTGAGAGTCCTCGTCAGGGATGCTGGTGTGCGGGGAGGTCCAGGTTCAGGATTTAAGGGTTTTGGCTTTAAGGGTTTAGGGGTGAATAGGGGTTTAGGCCTTGCTGCAGGGGTAGATGAGGGTTTGGGATTTGCAGTAAACACTTTACGGGTAATGTAGCGGCCTTAATAATTAGAATAGGGTTTTGGGGTATATTATACCATATATTTATGATAAGGAACCACCGAACTAGTAGCGGCAATTAGTAAGACCCCTATGTTAAAGCTGTAGGGTTTTGCTTTGAGTGGTCTACAGGAGTTGCAGCGTGGAAGGGTTCCGGGGGCTCGGGCTTTGACCGCTTGGGATAATACAATAATACAAACATAATATAATATGCTTTAATACACCAAAGCGAAATATACTATAATGTAACATACTATAACTTAATGTACCGTAAAATAAGATGAACAATATACCAGTATAGGGAAGTTACATGTGTCCGGCCGGTCGGTTTAGGGTTTAGGGGTCCGCGGCTGAGTGAAGCAGGGCAAGAAGCAATCGAACCACTTCAGAAAGAAAGCACAAGCCCGCAAAACTTTGAGCGCTACTGAAGTGCCCGCAAACCCAAAGCAACCGTCAGCCCAAGGAGGTGCGGGGTGCTGCCAGCTCCTTTAGGCAGCGATTGGGGAATGGGGAGTGTATAGAACATGCATATGGTGATAAGGTTTCTGGCTTCAGGTTCAGCTCTGGATTGCTAGTTCTTCTGGTCAATTCCAGGCCTGGCGAGTGGTGTATAGCCGAATTCGTGCAGCTGATCGCCGAAGACAGTCTATACTAAACACGTAAGCAGCCTTAGCTTCTTGAGCGGAAGCAGACTCTGACCCCGAATCCCGTACTTGAGCGCCCTTGAACCCTCATTAAACTGCTTTCCGAACGCCATGCCCAGTCCTTGAAGCGAAAGATGTTCGCCAAGCCTTGGCGCCAGAGGCGAAAGCATTGTGCATGGCTCAGGGTTGAGCTCAACTGGAAGCTCCGCATCGTCTACTTGACAATGGACCTCATAACCCGTGAAGGCCCAGAGGGACACCGATAACCCCCGTTGAGCACATTATCCGAAGTTCATTACATCTTTGGCTTGGTAGACCCGACCGTCCAAACGTCCGAGATGTACAGACAAAAGGCTCTGCCGAGGGGAGCGGTGGGCTTTCGCACTGGCGCTGGCCGCAGTGCCTTTGACAGTCGCATCAGGGCTGACAACCAAGACTTGTAAGCCAAAGAGGGCTTATCAGGGATTAGACTCGCCTGGTCGGGAGCTAGGGGGTGGAGCTTGGTTTGTATTCTCGGCCTAGCTTTCCCTACACCACGCACAAGAGCTTTGAAACGATAGTGCTCACATCTCCTCAATGTGATCCGCTGCATGGTACGCCGGACACTATTGGTCAAAGGCCCATGTTCCACTTCTTTGGAAGACAAGTCTTGGGCTTTCGGCTTCCTGGACCCCCTCAAAAAATCAGGGCTTAACATGCAACCTCTTGGGGTTATACTATTCAGCCAGATAAAGCATGAGCTGTAAGGAACCCCCCAGAAAGGTCCTTAAAGTAGTTGGGCTTGGTGTTGAGTTCCGTCCCAAACCCTACCCACACCCTACAGAACCTATCTTTTTCAGGGTTTACACGAGGAAATCATCATAAGGAACCCCAAAAAAGTAGGTCTCTGAGGGTCCAGGAAAGCCCTGAAACTTCCGCGAACTTGTTCTGAAAGCCCGAAAAGTCCGACTCGGCGGTTCTGGGCATGGCTAGAGGGCGTTGACCCAAATATCTTCATGCGCACATAATTTGTGGTACTGGGCTTCAGTCCTACAGAGTAAGTAAATATATGTGTGTGTACAATATACATATATATATATACACAGAACTGTATGCACATATATATATATATATACACACACACACTTTTTAAAACTAGATTTCAGAGTACAAGGTCTAGGATACTGTAGAGGCTAGGGTCTGCTGTCTGCAGAGGTCGACGCTGGGTGCCTGGTATCAAAAAGCCTTTGCTCTACCCTTCAGAGACGGAGCTCACGAAGAAAGCGAGCAAGAGTCTTGCCGACAGGTTAACGTAGGGGCCTTTATAATTAGAA